TGATGGTGCTTGAATGGACTTTAAAGATGGAATGTATGAATGTTGGTACCATTACTGAAGGCCTGAATGATCTTTTTCATCTCACCATTACTTAGTTAGGAAGACAGTTGATTTTAATAACTCAAAGGGGTTTTCAGTGATTCTTGCAACAAATGGTGTCAAGATGGCTAAATGTCTTAGCTGAAAACATTGAAAAAGAAAGTTTAGTGCTTTTTTTAGATATTAAACAGTTTGTGGGATGTACAATTATGATGTTACACACGGTATATATATATATATATATATATATATATATATCATGTATAAAGTACAGTGTATATGTGAGTGTTTTTGCATGTGTGTGTCCAAGTAACTCTTCCACTCCCACTGGTTCAATTTCAATGATTCAATTCTTATTCAAAAGCCCTAGAAAAGTTAGGCACAGGGAATCATTTTCATTGAGCTCAGATTCAGGGTTGTCAGATTAGGCAAGGTTAAAAATATATATTATTTATTATACTAGCCATTATCATTGCTTTCATGGTTCAAGGGGAGTAACTCTAATTTTCCTTTTGGATCCAAAATTGCAGTGGATGTTTTATTATAAATAGTTTAAAAGCTGGCCTATCAGCCAACATTGAAGCTAGCTCCTGTGGAAGACTCTTGCTTTGGCTATCATCACAATAGCTAGGGAAGAGGAGATGTGATAGGCATCAATAAACTACAGAAGAACTCAAAACTGATCACTGCATTTAAGTATAGAATTAATGTTTAAGCTTACCTTTTAAAAGTTCAACAATAATTCTTCTGTCACCACTTAATTTAAAGATGATTTGATGTATGTAGATCCTTATTTTCCATACAAACAATTATTTTTATTTCATGTGTGACAGAACATGGGAACAATTTATAAGATAAAATTAATATATTGTAAAGATGGGAAAATAAAAATTAGAATTAGTTATAGATTCAACATTTGAAGAGTTAGAGAAACATAACTGCTAATTAAGTAAAACCTATATTATGGAATCTATATGAATAAATGTGAAATTGAAGCTCAAATTCACCCATGAATTCTGAGATGAAAAAGCTCCAGCTCTACATTATAGTAATTTACACATGGTATTTACTGTGTCTCCCCACTAAGATGAGATGTGACACAAGGTCAGTTTTTAAGGTGGAGACCCAAACATGAACACCTGGGCTAGCAACAACAATTCCCCAAGCCCCCACAACCGTCGGTTGTGCTGACCTCAGTACGAGCACCAATCCCTCTCTCTGGTGCAATGAGATAGTGCAGTCTCAGGCAGCTGTTCCCCAGGGATGGCACCTCTCAGTATAATTTTACTCATTTGTAACTCTGTCCTTTGATGGAGTCATCCCTGAGTGCACTCTGCCCAAGGAAAGAGACACAACTGAGAAATGATAAGTAATTTGTTACAAACCAGAGAGGGAGTAATTTACAGACTAAAAGCTCAATGTCTGTATTATATATTATCTACTTCTAGGCAATATCACTTTTCAGGTTTAACTAAATTGCATATTGATTTTAAAAAAGTTTATTTCATTAACTGTCCTTCATTACTGTTCTTTTATTCGAGGATTATTTGGATTTTCACATCAAAATAATTGTTTAGATATATCACCTTTTATAGTACAGAAAAGTGTTTGAAATTTGCATGTTACTTGGCCTTCAACAAGTTGTCATCTATTTGTAAAACTTTCTTTAACAATCCAATTTATGAATGAAATGTTCATTTAAAATTTTTGTTTCAAAGATTTCAAGTAGTGAATATATCTTACTTTGTAAGGTGATAGTGAGTGGCCGAAGCCTTCTAGTATATATATATATATATATACACAAACACTCTATTTCCATTACTGATCACTCATCCCATAAATATAAGAATATAACAAACTCTAAACAATATATATATATATATATATATATATATATATATAGTATAGTATAGTATATGTCTTTGTATCTACAGGGTGAATGGATAAATTGTAATCTAATTTATGCAAAAATGAGAATAACACTAAAGTCTCATTTTAGCAGATATATTTACTAAAATTACACAAAAATGTCTTGAAATACTAAAGAGTAAATTTATTCAATAAGATCACCATTGGCTTCAACCATGGCATCCAGACAATTTTGGAATCCCCTGCATCTCTTCTGAACAGTCTCCTTGATTGATGAATGCTGCCTAATCCTTGACTTCAGTTCATCTTTAGTGTTACAAAGTGTTTTGTTAGTCTCTTGCTCAACTGTGCCTCACACATAATAATCAAGGGTGTTGCAAGTCTGAGGAGTTTGGTGGCCAGAAATAAGGGGTGATGTGGCTGCAGAAATTGTCAGATAGCCATGACTGGATTCTCCTGCTTGTGTAGTATATGATGCCTCAATGAGTGTAGTCAGCAGCATTCATCAACAGGTAGGTTAGGTTTAAGGCTCCAGGTTCTCTACTCAAAATTGCCCAGCAGGACATTGGTTTAGGAATTTGGTGACATAGTAATTATGAGTCCAATCAAGTATCTCCTTGGATTCAGTGATGACAGTATCAACAATAACTGATTAGTACTAAATAAGAAATAACAAAATAGGCTTTCTACTTGATGTCATCTCAAAACATCAAACGATGAAGGATCTCTGCGGGCTGACCTAGAAGGTGGTCTCATAACCACTAAGTGCATAATCAGGCCTCAATCAATAGAAACATCAACATGAACAAAGAAATGAGCACAGCTGAACTTCGGATATGCATGCACACACACACACACAGAAGACAACTGGATGGCAGGAAGTTATATAAATGACCAGCCTATGAATAATGGTGATAATCCCTTGCACACTTGCAAGAAAAGATTAAATGTTCAAAGAAAGACCCTTAGTTTGACCAACATTAATTTGAGTCCAGAAGTGAATAAACAATTATTTTATCTATGAAAAATCTAGTTTTGTATCCTTATCAGACAATACTGTCATTAAATTAGATTAATATAATTTTCTTTATGGTTCATACCATTGTTCAGGTTTCTGGAGTGAATTTGACTGATAATGTCCAGTGTCTTCTGAGCATTTTTGACTTTTATAAATCTTTTGTGTGTTGACAGAGTTGTGCATGTGCAACTTTTTCTTCTTCAAAAATCAAATCTCACTTGAAAGGAACAAGATGTCAAGATGTTGAGGAAATCTAAGAGAATGTGATGATACAACTGTTCCCTATCCCAAAAAAGTGTCCTAGGAATGCTTCCATCAATTGAAATGACACTGGATAAAATTTGTCTTCAGAAAATGACTACTTTGAAGGAGATTAAACTCTGAATTGATATGTATTGTAGTTTTCATTTTCTGGCACAAGTCCCAATACTTTTTCACCTGACCTCATATATTGAATTGTTTATTAAAGTGTCCTTGTTTTTAACATTGAAATGAAATGTTCATTAGCCAGAATATCCTTAGGCATAATGTTTGGTAGGTAAACTGTCCACAGGTAAAATGTCCTTACACAAAGTGTAAACTATCTGGGTAATAGATAGTGAGTTCAGCCTTTACTAGGTATGGTGTACTAGTCATCTTGTACCAAAATTCATCTCTTCTAAGTAAATGACACTGCATGTCTGTGAGTACATTGGTTGATTGCCATTTATTTTCAAGATCTAAACTTGTATTTGTTATTCTAAGATAAGTACCTTGACATCGTGGAGGGGCTTTGCTTGCTCCTACAGCTTGGAGAGCTATGCTGGCAGGAGTTTATTTCTTGGCAAGACCAACCTAGCCAGACAGGTCAATTGATAGGGGTCAAACAAAACTTTAGCTAGAGGAGCAACTTCCAAGGTTCCAAATCTAGTATGTCAGCAGCTCTCCAGTTGCATAGATAGTCAAAAATTAACAGATTACTACATTGGTTTGATATTCAAAGATTGATGGCAGATGATAAGCAGCACAGTCAACTACGATAGCTTGGATCAACCAATTGTAGTTAGCTGAATACTGAAGTTGCTAGTAGGAGTAGCAACCATTAGTATTGAATTGTACTTACAATGTAAGTGTGAGATCATTTAAAGAATAGCATGGCTGGTAAATCCAATTCTTCATACAACATTACTCATGCTGTGTTGTTATTTTTGCTTTTTTTTCCTCTGTCTGTAGGTCAAATAAGAATGTAATTTCCCTACATTGCTGATAAAAAAATCTTTTCAAGTCCACTGTTATAACTCTTTCTCATATTGATTGGAATTTCCTTCCAAACCTTTTGTTAAGGTAATGTGGGAAATTAACATCATAATTATATCATTATTTTCTCTTCTAATAACATGCTCTATCCTCTTTTATTATTGTTGCTGTTGGAGCAACAATGTGATTTTTGCAACAATTGATCAGCTGACATGGGTTTCATTATCTGTTAAAGCTATTTGTTTATGATTTTGTAGCGCCAGTCTATAGAGTCTGGTGAAGGATTGTCTTCTTTAAAATCTAAAGGATTCATTTACTTGAAGCCATTTTTAATCATTGATCTGAGACAATAATTGTATAGAGTTTAGACATTTCTGAGCAAGTTGGACACCAGGTACAACATGCAGGATGTCCAGGTCATTTAAGAATATGACTTTTTTTCAGGTTAATATTTGGTTTTGTATCATCTAAACAGTTCCAGACAAAATTACCCCTAGCAGAATCTATCCTGTGCTCAATTTCCTATACTAAATTTGTTATAGCTGATCTATACACCAAGTGTTTAGAGTTTATTAACACTATATTGTGAATTTTCACAATGGATTCAGAGTTGCTTAAATGAAAGAAGAAAAAGAAGAAAAGAAACTGCATGAAAATATAATTCAATGTTTATTTTTAAAAGCTCAATAGAAAGAACTTTTTTTTATACTGTTTATTGACTTCCATTTTAATATTTTCAATTTTTGTCTCATTAAAATTAATATTTTCCTTCTGTTCTTTCCTCACTAGGAGATTATATTGGGTGGATGCTATGACACACAGCATCATGTCAAGTGACATGGATGGTAAAAACATGAAGCTGGAACGTAATACAACCAGAAAAACAAATGGCAACCCTATCTTTGGGTTGGCAGTATCAGGAAACAGAGCAATAATCAGCACATGGTTCCAGGCTTCTCTCTTCTCAACTCTTGTCCAGGCAGCTGCAGCTTCATGGAAAGTGGAGTCTTCTAACCTCGGAGAGAAAAAGTTATTTAGTATTATCGTAGTAGAAGACTCCATCCAGAATGCTGGTGAGTGAAACAAAAAAAAATAACATTTATTGATTATTTCTTATCAAGATAAGAAGACATGCAATATCTTTGTTTCTGTCTTTGTTTGATCTTTAATTTTATTGTTTGTCTGCTTCCTTTGTTTTTTCTCTCTCTCTCTCTCTTTTCTGTTTTATTGCCATTTACTTCTGAGTTTGCTTGGTGGTTGAGATAGTTACTCCTCTTCCCAACCAGCAGTCAGTGTTAAAACACAGGATATTAAATACTGATTTTCCAAGCTGACAAACCGTCCTTAAGCTAGCCTGAAACAACCATTGTATCTCAAGTTCTTGAGAAATTCTCAAAAATTAAGACGCAACTTAGTTCTACCAGGACACACTATGCTATGTCCACAGAGTTGAATCACACTCATTTCCTCCATATTTCAAATATACAAAGAAACTTCTACTCAAACAGTTTTCCTGGGTAAGATGATAAACTACATCCAACAGCAAGGCCTCTGATCAGGAGGCTTTGAGGAGTGTGGAATCACCTCTTAATTGCTGGAGTTCTCAGATCCACCCTGACCTGGGGTGGTGGCACCTGTTAGGGTAAATAGTTAATCCCCAATCTGTGGTCAAAACACTATAAAAGTGTAAAAATAGGTTTCAATACCAGCAATACATTTTTGTAAAAAATATTACAAGCAATGAATTTTTGAAAAAAACAAATATTATGAGCAATACGTATTTGAAAAAAAATATTATGAGCAATACATTTTTGAAAAAAAAAATTACCATCAATACATTTTTGAAGAAAATATATTACAAGCAAAACATTTTTGGAAAAAAAATATTACCAGCAATACATTTATGGAAAAAAATATTACCAGCAATACATTTTTGCAAAAAATATTGTCAGCAATAAAAATCTTGTCAGCATTAAATACCCACCCGCCACATCATTGAGGTTGATATGCTGTAAAACAAGCCAAACCAAACCAAATCAAACAGCTTTTAGAAAACTTACTTTGTGAAACAGACTCCTGCAAAGATGTTTTCTGAACACTTAACCTCTTCAAGTCAAGGGTCGATTGTTATTTATCTTACTTATCATAATCTTCACTTCCTAATATCTCCTCTTTCACTTATATCTCACACCTTATTCAACATAACCATTTTGACAGTAACCCTCTATTTTGAGTGGATCTCAAGCCTTGTACTAGGTAAATTTTACTATCCAAAAAGTTATGCAATGATTCTTTCAGATGAGTTTCCTTACTTTTGTTGTTTTTATGATAACATTTCAGTTAGAGTAACCTTTCACCCTTTTCAAGTATCTGTAACATTCAGTAGCCATTTTGGAATTTTGCTAAAAAACATCAACAAAAACCCAAAACTGAATCATTGTATATTATCTAATTTCTACTTGAATTTTGAAAATAAAATGCTTTTACATTTATTCATCCAGACCAGTTTCTTTGTTTTTGTTGCTTTTATCATGTTTTAATCACTGCTAACACTAAACATACATAATTGTTTATCATATTTGATAAGCTTCTGGAAGTTTTGGAATAAAAACAACAAAGATGAGCGTATTATTTTAAAAGAATTGTTTTATTATAGTAAATAACACATCCTTTCAGAAAAGAGAAGACTAGGATATTAAAGAAACAATAAGAAGAAAGAAATTTGTTTGAAACAATCATTGTAATAGTAATAACACCTTATCTCAGAACTAAAATATTGTTTGTTTTTTATATTCTTTGAAAAAAAAAACTACTTTCATTTACAGTTAAATTTTTTTAAGTTTTCCATTTCATGCTTCCAATTCTGAAATTGACTTTTTTTCCTAAATTCTTTTTCTGACTTTTTCCTTTTTTTAACTCCTAATTATCTTTTTCCAAATATTTTTGTTCCTTTTTTCCATCTCCAATTTTTTATTATTATTATTTACGTATTTTTATTTATCTTTGGTTTCATCACAAAACCCTAATTTTGGTTAAACTTCAAACTATTATCTCTTCTCTTCTTCCTCTCTATGTCTTGCATCCATTGTTTCTTTTTATTATTTTAATTCTGTTTTTTTTGTGGGGGGGGCTTAACACATCTACATTTTCACTTTCATAATTATCTCTAACCAACTTTTAGGCAATCAAGAAAACTTTAGTCGCATCAAGGGCCAGCTAGGTCACAAGTATCAATCTACCATTCTTGACTATCACATTACCAACAAGTTAAAGGTTACCAACTTGTGTTACCTTACAAACAATCATTTGAATTGGAAATGATCACAGCAACTATGGCTACAGGCTTTCTTGGTGATTCACCATCTATTGTCAATGATATGATTGATCTTTAGAAAGGACCTTATGCCCAAAATATACAGAGCCAAGAATATTAGGTATTTCATTCTGGAAGCATGCAGTAACGAGATGGAAAACTGGTTGACAGCATATAAGAAAAAAAAATTAAAATTATAATATGATTTAGTATTTGTTAGTAACAATTTGTTATCTTTTTGTTCAGGGAAAGGTGAGGTAATTTTTTAAACAACAACAACAACAAAGCCTTTAATTTAATTTCAAAATCTGAAAAAAACTGAAACACATAATTTAATATAACATTGTGAGATAGGTTTAGAGAAATGTACAAACAATATAAAAAATATTTTTTGGCTTTAAATAATCTGCAGAATGTTGATGATCTATAAAAAACAAATCAATCAATCAAATTAGTGGCCAGTACATCTTCAATTGAAATTTATAAAAATCTTTCTCTTAAAACAATTTTTTAGGAAAATAGGTTTCTCAAGTCCACTAACTGTTATTGCTCTTTTCAATATTGATAGGGCTTCTTAACATTTTATTTGAAGTTGTGTGGAATTTCAACATCTTGATTATGTCATTATTTTCTCTTTGAGTTATTTGTGCTATATTTTATTTGTTGTTGCTGTTGGTAGTCCTCAAGTGATGTGGTTTCTATTATTTGGTACAATTCTTTGTTTATGATTCTGTAATGCTAATCCACAAGGTTCAAAGAAGAATAATCTTTGCCATGACCCACAGGCTTTACTTGCTCAATGCCATTTAGGTGGTGCAAATGAACAATACCCTTATTTTTCTGTATATCTGCACACTCTACAAATGATCTTTATTGGCTTTAAACAGGAACTGTGTCATTTCTCTCAAAGAATGAATGATGATATTAATTATTATGATCATTGTATATGATTTTTATAATAACTCATTATTATATTATTTCTATAATAACTCGTTACAGAATGGCTTAGGAACATTATCATTTTATGAGCAAAAAGGGTATAAGCAGTAAAAAATTTTTAAGCTATTATGGCATTTTTATCAATATTTACCTTACTATAGAGATGCAAATAAAAATAATGATAAAATCTACAGCTTATAGTTCTCTATTATCATATTCTCTTTTTGGAGTTCAGGAAAATAAATAAATCTCTTCAAAAGATGATAGAATACCTCAAACAACCTCTTATCCTGCCTTACTGAGAAAGCACCTTATTAATTAAGCTATAGCAACATTGTTAAAATTTAGTCATAGCTATATTCTTACTCTATATTGCTGTTTACACCTAATAGTAGTTGATATAATAGTCTTAAGTTCTCTAGATTTCTTCAAATGGATTTTCATTAAGTTTTACTAGTCTTATTATTTTATTTCCTTTTATCACAACATTGAGTTTATTTTTACATTTTGCGACAGCTAAGCAAGCAGTGTGGATTGGAAATTTATTTATTTATTTCATTTTATTTATTCTTCTTCTCACTGTACAATGCATAATGAAATTGGACAGCATCAACACACATATACATGTGTATATACAAAGAAAAGAAAAAATGGACAGCATCTAACGAAGAAAAGTGATACATTTAAAATATGTTAAAAATTGTCAGCTTGGGGCAGCATTTATTTTATGCAGGACCCAAAGATTGAACTGTCCCTCAATCATTTTGTCCTATAACTTATAGAACTAAAATATCACTTGGAATGTACACTGTCTTTTATTATGCTTTTCACTCTGCTGTCACAATGTGAATGAGAAATGTCCTCCAAGGAAGGCAGCGAGCAGTCAATTATTTTCTAGGCAACATCTATAAATCCTTTGGAGGGCTCCCTTGTCTGCTGGCATACCAAGCAGTGATGTAATATGCCAGAACATTCTCAAAAGAGAAGCAGTAAAATGTCATCAGCAGCTCCCTTTGCAAATTATAAAGATTTGAATGACAATTTCTGGAATTCCTTTATTCTGGCTTGCTTGTCTGACAGGAACAATGCCTGACTGATTAGGCTGTAAAAACTAAACTAGAAGTCTTCATTATACAATTTTTAATGCACCCTATATTATTTGCAGAAGTAATAGTAGCAATAGTATAAGTAGTAGTAGTTTTAAGTGTACAAATTTTTTCAGATGAGGAATTAGATAATGAATTATAATTTGATTTATTCTTTTTATTTTGTTTAGTTTAGTCATATAAAATATAAAGATCTCATCCTTGTGATAAAAATACAGACATGGATCCAGGGTCAGTATCAAGCAGATCTTGACATAACCTTGTTTGGAAAATCATAAAAAAAATGTTTTTAAATACCTAGATATATTTTTTTTTTTACTAAAACAACCCAAATAATATGAAGTAATCATGAATAAAGCTTAAAAAGACAAAAAATTACAATTTTGTCTTTCATCTGATATAAATGACTTCCATCTTAATTTTTTTATTTATTGGTTCTGTGGTAAACTGATTTGTTTTTTCATCTTTACTATTTTGTAAAGTCTGGTATTTAAAACAAATTATTAAGAAACAGGGAAATTTCATTAGAAACAAAGAAAAGATTGCCAACCTTATTTTTTAATCAATTCACCCCAAGCAATGCCAATAAGATGCAAAGGGTTACTGGTAGGGCAAAATAATGAGAAGACTTTAGAAGGAACCAGAAACCCAATCCTAAACAGGAAGCAAGGAATAAACCTCTACTCTTGTTCAAAAGACCATGGAGGAGAGGAAA